CCCCGCCCCCGCGTCAGGACCCCGGCCCCGCCGCCCGTCAAGAAGGAGGCCCCGCCCCTGGTCCCCACCTCTCCCCTGCTGACGCCCCAATCACAGTCGCAGCCTGAGCTCCGAGCTCCGCCCACTCTCCCGCGCACCTCGCCGACAGTCAATCACCAAGTGCTTCACCCACTACAGTACAACGGTCTTAATAACATAAGGTAAGACACAGTTCCCTTTTAGTGGACAGTATCGCTCGTTTGTACAGAAAATTAGGCCCAGCTACTGATCAGTTTATTCTTGCACCGGCAAAATTGATTATTGGTTTTATTGGACTTCAGGAACTCTCTGATCTTTTTTGTATTGACCATTGTAATACATAAGTGATTGTGAACAAATATGGCACTGCTGGTCCAGTTCTGCTGTCATATAAATAAATAAACCTCATGCTTATATAGCGCTGTTCTGGACACTCCACTCAAAGCGCTTTACAGGTAATGGGGATCCCCTCCATCACCACCAGTGTGCAGCCCCACCTGGATGATGCGACGACAGCCAGAGTGCGCCAATACGCTCCCCACACACCAGCTCTCAGTGGGGAGGAGAGCAGAGTGATGGAGCCAGTTCAGAGATGGGGATTATTTAGGAGGCCATGATTAGCAAAGACCATCAGGAAATTTGGCCAGGACGCTGGGGTAACACCCCTACTCTTTTTGGGAAATGCCCCGGGATTTTTAATGACCACAGAGAGTCAGGACCTCAGTTTTTACGTCTCATCCAACAGACGGTGCTTTTTTTGTAGTGTACCTGTACCTCTTTTTTACGAATGTTTTTTTTAATGCACAAATCAGTACTGGGGCATTAGGAGCCACACAGACCACAGGGTGAGCACCCCCTACTGTCCCCCCTAACACCTCTTCGAGCAGCAGCCTTAGTTTTTCCCAGGAGGTCTCCCATCCAGGTACTGGGCAGGCTCACACCTGCTGGGCTTCAGTGGGCTGCTGGTGGTCAGATGCAGGGTGATACTGCTGCTGGCAGCATCAGAGGGATGTGTTCTGCTTCTCACAGGGTGTTTTGTCTTTACAGCCGGAGCAGCAGTACAAGCAGCACCGCCAGCGCCAGCCTTCCCAAACACTCCCTGCCCCCCTCCCCTCACCTGGCAAGCCACCCCACCTCCGCCCCTGCCCTGCCCTTGTCCATTGGCAACCTTGCTACCTCGCACTATTCCCTGCGAACTCCGGCTCATCGCCATACGGCCATGTTCGCAAACCCCGCCACACTGCCGCCACCTCCAACCTTACCAACCAACGGCCTTGTGGTCCCAGGGCACCCCACTGGAACCGGCTACCCAGGTAGGACCCCTCTCTTGCCAGGGCTGATAATGGCAGGAAACAGAGGCATTCTGGGAATTGTAGTCCTTAACCCTTTTGCACGCAGAACAGAAATATATAGACGTTCAAGTAGGTAGCTATGTCAGCATGCATAGGCTGCAAAGGAACAAGTAAAGGTTTATTTCATGCTGAAAAAAGAAAAAAAGAAACAATGTTTTGGCTGTGGAGCCTTCTTCAGGTGTGGAAATTTATAGCCTATGTTTTTCACAAAAATAATTTATAATTTACTCAAGCAGGCTTCAGATACCCATGCTTGCATTAAGCAGACCCTGCATCATATAATTGGAGTAAAGTTATTTTTGAAGTTAGTAAACATTTAAGATTTGTCTCCTTAGTTCTGCCTAGTTTCATGCACTCTAACCTCTATGCATGACCAATAAATTAAGCCTAGGAAAACAATATGTAAATTATGATGAACAGGTGCCAAACTTTTTTTCAGTTCCAAGTTTATATAAGTTTACAACATCCAGAATGTCTTGTAAACAGCGTGAAAATATTATTTTGATTAAAAAGGCAGTGAAAAAAAACTATGTTCCAGGATTTGCTGTGTATGTCATACACATGCACAGATTTTTCCTAATGATGAGAAGGTAGCAATTCCCTCACAGTGCATTTACACTGACATCTGAATGTTCTCTTTGTTTCCTTGTGCCAGTAGTGTGTGGGTTTGAGTGCCACACAAGGTTATAAGGTTCTCACATCGAATTGCTCCATACTAATCTTTACAGTTCACGTAATCCCATCATTGCTTGGTAAAGGTTTTATATTCATGGCCTGTTCCTCCACCAACACCAGGATATAGCAGTCCAGCTGTCGGGAACTGGAGAAAATTGGGAGTAAAAGGTTATACAAGGAAATTGTTAAACCGAACAGCTAAAGTAATGATGTAATTGCTTGTCCTGACAGGCTTTGTTCTGTATAAATACATTGGACACCGTAAGGCCCTACAGTGCACGTAGCAGAATGTAATTTACAAAAAATGCCCCGACATAAAAAACTGAAATCTTTAAAAAGAAGCCGTGATCTGTTTGGAAATTATTACATACAGGATATAAACCCCCAAGTGTAAGCAGTAATATATCTTCGAGCAAACTATACAACAGGTATCAGCAAAAAACAATGCTACCAATAGTAGAACTGAAAATCTTTTTAAAAAGCTAAGGTTCGGAAGCAGAGCAGTACAAAGTCGCAGAGACACACTTTATGAAAGTAGAATAATATTGTTCAGTTTCACATAAGGAGGAGTAAACCAAGATACAATTCATTTTGATTCAAAGGGCACTACACTGTATTTTTCTATCATACTGTTTAGTATGTGTATGAGACTGCTTGAGTGTTTTTGAATGTTGGAATCAAATTCCATTGGCTTTGCTTTAGGTAGTGCAAAGTCTAAATTCAAAGCCCTAATTTCATAACTGCCACTTAAGAACAAAGTTAAAACACATTAAGTAATCACATATCTGTTTGATATACTGAAATAACCTGTGACCTGTTACCTTGAAAATATGCATCAGATTGTTTTATTTCCACTCTACATATCAGCGTTATGCTGTAATGAGTGCAGAATGAATAGATATGCACATTAATGAGTAATGAGACAAGGGTTTGTACTTTTAACATGCCTCCTTGCGCATTTATTATCTCTTACTAGATCAATGCATATGTTAAGCATCGTGTCTTACATGGATTCATAATAGCACATGAGACAGCTGAACCTACTAATCGCCAATGTTTTGTTTCTGTTGTTGGAGGAATGCGCAAAGCCTTATACACTAGATTGACACTGGAGCACTCTTCTACATTTTAAATTTGAGAACAAAGGCATACCTTTTAGACGTTGGATCTTTCTGTTTTTAATTGAAAATGATATTTTTCTCAAACTGAAAAACCTTATTTCTACAAACGAATGCTTTGTTAATGCCGTTCCGTCATAATTCTGTGATACTAATCTTTGTTTTGGGTCACCTAAGGAAATTGCCTTTCATTCTCTTATATCGAGAGTAGTCAGCCTTCATATCCTTAATTGCTTAATTAGTTCATGTAATGAAGATCGCTTTGATTATTAAGATTATTAGATGGTAATGTTAAGGTTGACCACACCTGTCCTAGATTGAGTACAATGGCCTAAATCTGACTAAAACTGACATTTTTGTGATTTGACTCATTTACCAAGGAGGAATAGATTCCACTTAGGAGAGGAAAGATGAACGTAATTGAGGATAAAAATCCAAAACTCCCATTGCACAAACGTTTCGGCCTTTTTTGCGGGCAGTGAATCTGTATTCTTCTGCCTTCTCTGCAGACTGCAGTTTGTTTCTTTCATGTTTAACAGTGCAAGGTTCAAAGCTCCGTGCAATGGGACTACCCGTCTGATAATTAGAAAAGCCTGGATTAGATAAATATGTGTCGGAAACAATCGGTTTTTGATTTATGTGAGACGATGAAAAGCTAGGGAGAAAGAGAGTCAATGTTTTCTGCTGAGATGACTCCTGGTGTTCTCTCTTGTCTTTAGATACCAGCCTGTTGATATCATTCAACCAACCAATCATGTATTGCCAGCCTCATTCGGGGATTCTGATTGGTACATTGTCACAGGCAACTCTCTTACCACCACCAATGAGTCCTCACGTAGAAAACCCTCACAGCATGAGCTGGAGAAACAGAGAATGCCAGGTGACTATTTCTTTTCTCTTTTATCTCTGTTGTAAAAACTGACTGGCCCCTGTGCCTTTT